ATCAATTAATAAAGGCTGCGTTTTTAACAAATACCGGTATTATCGAGAAAATTAACACCACTGATATTACTCTTTCGGAAATACTAACCATTAGCTTCATTTGATTAGACAAAACGGATGATAAAACATACATACACCAGTGTGTTACGAATGCTATTCATAAGAAATTATCTCCTAAACCAAAACTCCACTTCCAAGGAATCGAAGTCAGTTGTGTACGTTTGTGAATAAGACTTCCTTCGCTGTCCGGACGCAGATTAAAATACACTTTATCAAACGAGCACTTGATAGGGGGTAATAAACTTTTCGACCTCTAAAACTGCCCTGATTCTATGGAAAATGGAACTTAGTTACTTAGTTTTGAAATATCCAGGCAATGGTTCCAAGCTTGCAAACATTGGAGCAAAATATTTATTTTTTGGGACCGTTATAAGTTCTCGAACTTCTCACAAACAAGTATTGTAGTCTTCACGGTATTCATATGCAAAACTATGAGTTACAATGAGGTGTAGTAGAGACATTGGTCTTCGAAATTCCTCTTCAATCTGGGCACACATATGACGCAAGATTGCTATCGTTTAGTGCATCAGTAAAAAATAATGACTGTGCCGCATGTTTATAGACAAAGTGTAGCCAAATATATACCTCTTTTAAGGTTCGATTGAAATCAGGCACACGTTACAGAAGGAACCTTACTGACGAATAAGAGACTATCAGTTAAACGGTATTTTCGAATAAGAGTTGAGCACGAAAATCAGTGGGCCATTAGAGAATCCGCTACATGATCAGCAAAAACTCAAGAATCAGCCATCATTGAAGTCCACGAAGTACTCTAGCCAGTTGATGATAGTCAGGACAAAGCTTTCGGACATGATGTGTAACATTAGGGTCATTTATCATAAAGCGTGGTCCTTAACACCACCACGGTAATTAGTGTGTTCGTGCCAACCCTTCCGTTAAACCCCACGACAATTAAGTCTCTGTCTGGTGGCTGTGAACTTCAGAAACCGAGAGGATTTGAGTAGAGATCATAGTACCAAATTAGGCGTGTTCTTCCTCCAATATCACGGACGAAAAAGTGAGTATGCAAGGGATGGAACATTTCCTATTCGATAGGGTAGGTAAAAAGCGAGACACAAATTAACAATCGCTTCAAAGCCGAAACACAAAGCTTTAGTTAGCTGACAGAATCATGCTACTATTGCTCCGATAGAGACAGACCAGATTACAGCAACCACACCTGGGGTTTTTCCAAATATCACATGTTTCTCGTCGAATCTTTCTATATCACGGGACAGTTGGACGACCTATTCGGACCAAATGATAACGGTCCGTGTATTGTCTTTTGACTAGGAGCATTCGACTCAAAACTTCATGTAAACATGGATACAGCTGCGAAGATAGATTTCACTTACCCATATTTATCTTGGATCCCAAACTTCATGGAGAAAAATATATTTCGAATCAGATCAAAGAAACTGCACTCAGGCTAGATGATCTGAAAGAGAAAAGATCATTTCCTAATGCTTGAATTTTCGCTTTTTCTTCACATTCGGATCAACCAGTCAACCTCTTGCTTGATGACATGATAGCTGCTGGTACCCGAAAAGGTTTCTGCCCTGAGATAACCGAACTAGCTCAAATTAAAACATGTAAAAATCCACACAGCTACGAAACTGATAAGAGTTTGTGTAATCCATTAACTGGACTACCTTTCATTGGATAATAATAAAGACGTGAAACCGTACTGAATTATTAAGAAGCAAGATCAAAGAAATCATTCGGTCTATTTAAGATTGCGAATAATAAAATGGTATATTGGATCTTACACGAAGAATATTTCCTAGGCCATTCTCGAAACGCAAACTGGGGAGGCGGGCGTTTGGTTCTCATGAAGTCATTACTGAAAAAAGCATTAAGTCAAATTGCTATTGTTCCAGCTCTGCCTGAGTTTCGGAGACCTGAGGTAATCTTTCATGACGTTTTGCACAGTTCTCAGGTACGATGTAAGTCCAGTAGGAAGAACCAAAGTAGAGGCCAACTGAAACGTCTTCGCAATGAATTATACCGAAAACGTCATTCCAAAAAAGTTACTTGGAAAATATTTTCAAGTAAAAATGGTAAGTTATTTTTTTCCAGACTCAAAGGTTGCAGCCTACTGTGTCTAGTAGAGTAGCATGTTGTTACCTAATTAGGTGCTGCGTAGCACGACAGGTTAATCTCTACAGATTAACATGTCATCTTTAAACCGATAGGTCAACATAAGAGAGAAAAGCCAATATATGAAAGTGAATCGAACAAAGAATAGGAATTTTAAATGCTTTAGGCGTTAGGTCGAAATTCTCCAACTGGATTTTGTATACTTTGAGCTGGTTATTAGTCTAATTTTCGTTTCCAACGTAAAACGAGAATTATGGCAGCTCGTCAAGACTGAACACTACAGCCATTGAACAGCGATAAAAAGTTGCCACTTCAACGTATTTCTCATATCTCTTTTGTGACTTGCAGCTGATCTCATGTCACTCAGTACTTTGATGAGTTCAGTGAGTCCCGTGAAATGATCTAGCAGGTCAGTGAAAGCTCTAGACCTGATTAACTCTTTTTTCCTTGATATCAGTGATTGCCCCAGGTTTTCATGTATCATTACTACATTATCCGGCTTAAATGAAGTTATAGTAGTATCTTTAGAAGTTTTTTTTCTTACAGTCGTACGTGTCTGCTGTAGTTGCCGAAATGATAACTTAAAGCCTACTACAGGAAATTATCTCTTCTGCATAACTGTGATTTGCTTACTTAGCCATAGGCTAAAAGCTATGTACTGTTTTTTAGTATCTCATATAAGACTCGAATGGAAAAGCTGATAGCGAATCTTGCAAAATAACGTTAACGAATGTACGCTATAAACTAAGTGTTCAGGTCCGTAGCACTATTCACATTCTCTAAGAAAATCACACAAATCATTTCAAATTGAACCTGTCACACGGCTGCAAAACTTAAGACGCGTTTGCGCTAATGCTAGACGTCTAGAATTTAAGTACGGAGGTGGTGGTGATGTGTTTTTAAGGACTATAAAGAGGACAATAAACACTGTCGCTACCCATACAGATACAAAGTCTAATGTACGACATTTATGCTGAACGTCTGAAGTACTTTCAACACAACTCAAGAATAACATGCCCGTGATAATAATTTTATTTACACTCCAAGTTCTTTATGAGGAATCTACCCATAAATAGACTTTTTTTCTTCATTACACATAAGTATCCCAAGTGCATTGGATCTGAAGGGAATCTTGAAACCATATTGATTGGAAGTGTCTCAAAATTAGAACGTCCATGGTGTGAGTTGGTTGACTTTGTTAATGAAAACTGTCATCAGTTCGCGATATTCATCGTTTAAAAATATCATCCTTCCTTCAATGAAATAACCCACTACTACATGCATATCATAGCCTGCTTCTCCGTTGTAACTGTATTTAACTTCTGAACGAGCAGGTGCGTCAAACGTGACGGCAACCACCTTAATAGCTATACATTTGTTCATTCAAAGGTTTCAAGCTATTTAGTTGTGCTATAATATGCTGTTTCTTAGCTTACAAGGCCCGATCTAGAGTACGAGTAGTTGGCCAAATGTCTTGAATGCCAAAACACCAGTTTACTTACTCCCACCTCCTACATTGTCCTCAAAGCAAGTTATCCAGTTTCCTCAACTCTAGAAAATGACCAACTTTTCAGTGGTCAAACATTGCTTTCTCAGATAACGCTAAGATTATGTTTTATTATAAGGTTATTTGTCTGTTCCCACTCGAATGCTTCCGGAAATGAACGCCTGTCATGTTAAGAAGCGACACTATAGACAGCTATATGTGTCGTTTATCACAGGACATACATACACCGTGGCACCAGTACTTACCGCGCTACCCACCATTATCTTCTGGTAAGTCGGCTTTGACAATTACCTCTTGCAAAACATCATCTATGAGCATTCCTTGACACGTGAGATTGATGTTCGTGAAGCTTTGGTGAGTAACCACAAGTAAAACCGGAATCTTTAAAGAAGGAACACCACTGTCCCATTCAAGTAGTGTATAATCCAAAACGAGTGTCATTGGTAACTAAGACGACGTGAAACAACTAAAAATGATGTTGTAAACGCTAATAAGATCCTAAAACTGTCCTTCACAGTGGTTTTCATAACTAAAAACAGCTGATAATCACCTAGTCGTTCACTGTTGAAGACTTCAAAATTAAGTCCATTGTGGCTACCAGTGGAATCCAAGACTTTAGCTGCATGTGCGTACATCCAGACAACCGTTACAGATACAGAAGTAGCTCCGGCCAAGTTGAACATTATTTATTCGGATTTATCATAGCAATCATGCAACTTCTCTACAATTGACAGATGTTCATGGTGTATCATCAAGAATTTACCAGTCTTGAATGCAATGGTGATCCAAACATTGTCTTTATATATATATATATATATATATATATAGAGAGAGAGAGAGAGAGAGAGGGAATTGAAAGTAAACACCTTTAACTTAGCAGTGCAATAAATCTGTTTATGTGAACGTATCCAAAGTAAACTTTTTTTCCTGAATTCTTTTACAGACTCTCAGTCCAAACCTGACAAATGCGGTTCTGTCAAACCTAAAAATATCAGCAAAGTCAATCCTGAACTAATAAAACTTGCAAAACAAATAAATCAAAGTAGGCGCGAGGTTTTCGAAGCAACATCCAACAGGACGATAAGCAAGAAGACAGAAAGTGTTCTCTTCAACCAAGATTATGATCATTTTAAGGATGATTTGAAGACTCTTATATGCTCATAAATTCCATTATATAATCATGATTTTCCGTAATTAGTTAACTGGTTTCTTCAATACCCATATTTTCAAATGTACAGATGGATAACCAACAGCTAGAAAACTGGTGGGACGTACTGTATAGATACTTTATTTTTACCGGTACGAACAAATATAAAATAAAAAATGTTTCCTATTAGTTTTTGTGACGGAATACTAGTTTAAATGTTCGATACGTTGACAGGAATAAGGCGAAACCAATTGGTACGAAAAGCGGCGTATAAATACCATATTTTTGGTCATCCTAAAAAAAATAAATTGTGTAATTATTAAGCGAGTAGGTAAATCTTCAGAAACTAGTTATTTATGTGATAATCAGAATGAAAGCATTCAAAGAACCCTACTTCGACGTTTTCGCAACGCTCAGTAGATTTGAATGTGATTTTTGTTCTGCCGTAAGGTCGACGACCAAGATTCTCAATCAAATGTTGAATCGTAAGGAATGGCTACAAACCCTAATTGTATTGTTCCCCCTGGTACGGTCGAAAGTGGGGAGAGTGCTCTTCCTCTTGAAATGCCATCATATGACCATGTGTATTTAGTCACTACTGTGGAAGTTCTACTCACCACCATTTCGTTGCGTGGTCGTTGTTTACGAAATCGAGAAGACGAGAGCGAATGTCCAGCACTTAAGCCACGGATCATGACTTTCCTCCTGAGAAATCACACAAGCTTCTGCAGTCTGCATAAACTCACGGAAGTAAGTAGTCGGATGACTAATCTTTTTCTGTATTTAAGAATATTCTTCTGTAAGGATTGAACTTGGAAGGTATATCAAGCAGATTATTTATGAAGCCAACTTAGCAGAGTTGGAGAACCCTGATTCCAAACTAACGATTCTCATAGACTCCAGGATCCTGAGAGGAGAAATAGCGTCTAAACCTATTCTTGATCACCGGCTGCCATGAAACCGCAACTCCCAGCGTTGCTCCACTACACCGTGGATTAAACCTCTTGGTCAAAAGTTCGGGGAGTGGCCCCCAGGACCGCATTCTATGGTTTGGGCACTCCGACAAAATCCTTGGAGAAAAAAAATTTATTGATAACTACTTTGTGTGGCGCATATACATTTTGTTACCCCTTTGTATCAATGTGTTTCAATAAATACCACTTACAATGGTGTATGCTAGTGGGACAGAGAGAAGCTTGGGCACTATGGTTAAATTCATTAACCACAAATAATTTAGACAGTCTTAAGATTAGCAAAGATCTCACTACAATACTGAGTTCCAGTTACACAAGAATACCTACACAACAGAAGGTAAATAATAATTATGCGTTTGCACACCTGTCAAAAAGACGTACAATTTAATTTTAAAGGCTAATTCCCCAAAAATCACGTCTTCCCTCCGTAAAAGGTGATTTTGCATTCCTAAGATTTAAGGGGGATAGTGACTCCGTATTATTCACTAGATTTAATATAGTAAAGCATTGGGTTACATTGAATCTAATAAGTGGTTCCCAGGTACTTGGTAAGGTGAGCATTCCATAATAATTTGACATGCTTTTACCAACCGTTCTAGATGGTGATAATCATAAAAAGCTTACCTCGAAATATAAAAGACCAAGCAAGCTGTGGTCGAAAAACGCGCCATTTGAAGAAATTAAAGCATTATGTGCATATTGGAATGTAACACCAAAGGAGCACATAATCTCGTGTGACGACGCTGAATTGTTTATTTCATCTGGTTTTTTGAGATTGTCAAGAGCTAATGACCAATTCGAACATGAGTGATATACTTCATGAGCAACATCATCTCGTATAATCATGTTTGGAAGGCGTTGTAGTATGTTTATTAATGATTCAATAGTTCGTTTTGTCTCAGTAAGACATTCAATAGTTCGTCGAAGAAACCACAAGTTAAGCTGTAAACAAACAAAATTAAAAGACGTGTCCTAGTCATGTGATTCACTAAGATTTGAACTCGCTATGAAGCCCTAAGTAACTTACAAGTTTTTAAGGCATGTCATGAAGTGAACATGTGCACAGTACTCGATAGAACATACTAAGTGAAGACGGTAACAGATAGAAGTTACTAAAAGGTATAATAACGAAACATGATAAAAACGAGCTTTTGCACTCTGAGACTCTACACGTAGGCCAGTAAAAAACAAATTCACTGAACATACCTATAAGATTCATGTAGGGATCATGACTTTCCTCCCAAGAAATCACACAAGTTTCTGCAGTCTGCATAGACTCATAGAAATAAGTAGTCGGATGACTGCTCATCTATTTCTGTATTTAAGAATATTCTTCTGTAAGGATTGAACTTATAAGGTATATTCAACAGATTATCTATGAACCCAAAAAATTTTGAGTTGCTTCAAGATTCCGAAGCGAAATTCAATCTGTCGTTTTTTGTGAGGAAGGTGATTGGCTTTCTGTCTAGGCAACTGATGAGTTAAAGTAATTCATAAATACCAATTATACCGACAGAAAATGTAAGTCATGTCTGATAGGTAGTGCATGTTGAGTACACTTTATAGTCGACCTGGTTACAAGCAAAATAGCCAAATCAACCAATGTAAATTAAAAGAAATGCTTCATAAGCCAAATAATGCAGAAATTAGTAAAAACCATGCTAAAGCAATAATTTTCAGCCACTCCACATCTAAGCTAAATAAAACTTTGTCAACATAGTGTTTCAAAGATATAAATTTATAAGAAAAAACAAACCTCCCAATTCGTTGTTTGACCATTTAAGTCCATGTTAGATTGAATATGATAGGTGTGACTATTATCCTCATCCCGATCAAAATACATTTCTTTGATTTGTGGAAAACCTAATATTGAACGTATCACATAAATAATTTTTCGTGCAATCATCTTGGTTGATCCAGTCCTTGTCATACAATCAGAAGCATCAATAGAAAGTAGACCACCCCATTGAGGTACAAGTGCATAGTCAGTTATTACTACAGATGAATATGATGATATATGAAATCTTAAAGGTAAGGGACAGTCAACTCCGTGTGAATTATTTCTTTTAAAAGTATTTAATAACAAAAAAAGATGTAGACCTGGATTAGAACGAGCCACATCGAGATTATCTGCATACGCTGTTTGAGGAGGTCCCAAAAATGATTCTAAATAATTAATCAGATTGGATATATCACCTTGAGAATAAAATGTATAGTTTCCGGTTTTTGACAATTGACTAGAAAGAGAATTAAGTAAAATATAATTTAAACAGACAGAGTAAAAGTTATCGTTATAATTCAAATTGCTTTTTTTTGATGAGATTAAGTAAGCCTTACAAAACAAAGAAATCAGTTCGAAACAAATCATATTTATGGCAGATATCTCATAAAGATATAAGCTACTAAGTTAAAATATAATTTTCAGTTGAAAAAATAACAATCTCCTAGTTTTTAATTGTTTCCGTTAAAGTTGGCGAGGATTATTCGAGTACATAATCCTCTAGAAATCTTATTTGTATCATTAAGCTGTTCTACTTCCCATTACTACCAAAGCCTTAATCTCACTAGTCCAATACAATACATTGGAGTGTGCATGCACTGTGCTCTCTTTATCTAGTTCTGATTCGGTAGTTGTGACTAGAGTACGTACTGGTTACAAATGAGAATTTACTAACTGCTATATTGAAATAAATGAGACCCATTCTACCATTTTCGAAATGAATGTGCAATTTGATGTATAAATAACAAAATGTGATTTATCACGGCTTAATTCTCCTGCAAACCATTTTGACAGAATGCTTGTATACACGCTTTATAGCTATCAAGATAACTTTGGATAGGATGTGAATTTTCTGACTGTGAAAGTGACATCACACTGAAGTTCTCTAATGACTTCGGAACTGTTTGATTCATCATATCATTGATTAGGATTTCTATCTCTCATATGTGAACTGTGAAAATGCCTAATATCTGAAATGATATCAAAAATATGATTCAAGTTTAACTCATTCAGAAAATGATTCTCACAGACTAGATCATATGATACAGAGTTCTGACCAACAATTGAAGACCAGATTACCTGAGCCAAGGTAACCACCTGTTAAGTGTGAAATCTAGAGCACATTACAGTGAAGTTAGTCTTTTACGTATCATAACAGTCTTAATGCTAGATACTTATCTGCTTCGCTTAGAAACCTAATTACAGATCGCTTTGCCGTAAAACATCAGTTTTGTGTAGAAATGAGCACCGAAACTGTGCGATACATGAGGAGTTACTACCTGAGCTCTTAAAGAGAAACAAGCGGTTTACTTATAGAAATATACACCAAGTCTTTTACTTAAGTAAATAATCCATAATGCATTGAGATATCATCAGAACAGGGAATTCCACAGTAGGTTTGCACACTATTCGTTCACTTCGGATCTAGAAGCCATTATGTACCACTGCTTTGGAATCACAAATTTTAACCTCCATAGTCTAAACATCTGTATCTACCAACCGAATTTTAGCGTCTGATTTCTATTTCCAACCTTTCATTTTGTAGGAAAACCACACCACACCAAGACAGGGGGGTGCGGATCCCCTGTAGAAGGCTATAAAAATATGATTGCATAGTAGCAATTCGAGAGGGACTTCTCTACGTATGGCCACATTGTGATTATCGCTCTTCTCACCGTTTGGAATATCAATATTCAGCTGTTTTTGGTTGTCGATGTATTCCAGTTAATTAATAAAACCGTGTTAAATGTCCAGGGTACTCAACAAAAAGATAGTGTGAACATATAGAAGTTGTAAAGCAAAACAGAGGATTATCAGTTGTCGTCCACAGGAAAACTTGATATTCAGCTTCAGTCTTTGCCTACTAACTATTCAAATCCAGCATCGGTCAATATTTTGCCGAATTCCCATCCACCTTTACTTAATGCATGTCATATTATTGAAATGAAACAATGCAAAGCGGCATTTATGTGTCAGTAATGACAACTATATTGTAAACTAAGCTTAATTACAAGCATTCCACATAACCTGATAAATCAGCAAGTTATAACGAGGATTAGACTACAAAAGCCGAAAAATTTATTGTCGCCCATGACATATAGCTGTTGAGATCGGCAGAATGAAACAATGTTTATTAAAACTTATCACAGTAAATAAGACTTAAATATTCCACAAGTGTTCAAACGCAATAATCGGTATTTCAACTGAAGTCATATTTATAAATCAGCGATATGTCTGTCGAACTCGAAAAATGGTACTTGCAGTTCTATGAATATATATTCCCCAAAATGACAGATACATACCAAGCAGTTACATAATTCTGATACCATAATGGAAAATACATCTAGATAGTCCGAGCACACCTAGCTGTTAGACTGTAAAGATATATCCGGAGTGAACACCACGAAATTTCCTGATGTTTCATGACTCAGTCAATCAAAACAAACGACTTTGACCAAGTTGATGTCGTTTCACTCAAGTCAAGGTAATTTATGTAAGACATACTTATATATTTGTATCTGTTAATGGATGAAAAACTTGATACATGTAATAAGAAAGGATAGAATTGAATTTGTATGTATGGTAATAGTGTGAGATGTGAATAGAATCAGATATGGCAGCTCAACAGATGGTCGTTCAAGGCCTTCTATTCTATTGAGGCCTATAGGATTCAGCAATATATGGAAAGCTTCAGCTACTGGCAATTCTTCGCAGCTGGAAAAGCTTTTTTCTATTATTTTGATATTCTTAACATCGACTTGATGGTTATTGAAGATATTATGCACTCCTATAACCGATTCAATTCGGATTCTTTCAGGTTCTACAGGATCATTAGGTGGCTTTTTGTGTACCTAAGATGGCTTGAATCAAGATTACACGAGATGACTCTCCGATACATAAGGTACCACTATCGACATAATCTAATTTGTAAACGCAATTGTGTGTTGACTTAAAGTGAATCTTAGCCTTTATATGAACTGAAGCAGTTTGAAGAATGGTGTTTGTTTTGTAGTATGCTATGATTCTGTATTGTTTTAAGACTCTTTGGAGTTTTTCTGTTGTACCGTGGCGGTATGGTAAAATACAGTATCAATCCATGGTGCTTCTTTCAAACTACTGTTTAGCAGTAAATAATCTCGTTTTAATGCATTTTTATAATAATTTTCATAGGAAAATTATTGAATTGTAAGATGTTAATTAAGTGCTTTTGTTTATCCATTTCAGATGTAATGTTGTTTGCTTTTCTAAAAAGATTTATGGTCAGAAAGATTTTTGAACTGAATCAAAGTGCCGAATTGAAGTTAATATGACGACCCGATAGTATTAGTTTTCTGTAGATGGTTAGATTTAGAGCTTCAATTCACTTCCTTTTAATTGAGTAGTGTGAAAATGAGAGCTGACTGTGTTTATTTTCATTCTTGCAAGTAAAATAATTATGGGATGAGAGTGTATTGATCAGTTTAGTAAAAGTATGTAAGAGAGTCTTTTTCATGAAGACAAAAGTGACATGATATTGACTTGGCTAAACCTATTTTTTGACTGATCGTACTATATATCTGTTTTATTTATTTGTACTATTTAAACTTGGGTTAGTTTAATTTGTTTATTTATTCTCCGATGAATTCATGAAACGTCATTGGGATGTTAAAAATACATCATTTTTATTAGCAACAATCTAACCAACAGTTAATTTATTTGAAGTCAAACCTTGGTAACGATACCTAAAAATTATCTATTATACGGGATCTCATTGGTAGATAGTCTATTTTTGATAAAGTGGTCCAACATATAATGATACTTACCTTTTTTTCAACAGTTCAGCACTAACTCCATAAAGTCTCTGTGAATAGAAATCGACTTGAACAAAAGGCGACCAATTTTTAAAAGCTGATCCTACGTGTGCTTTTAACCATGGTATAGGATTTATCAACATTTCATTAGTCCAAACCGATATTTCATTAGATTCTTCTACTAATTGTGAAACAGAATCATCGAGTGTAAGCACTGTAACAGTTACATCGTACATACTAGATACAGACAATGGTTTATCTATAATTTTCGAGATTTGATTGTACTGACCAGGGGACAAATTTGCAGGATTATCGTATTTTCGTACAAGTTTCTAAATGGGATTTCGAAAGCAGATATTTCAATACCAGCCCACTTGCAGACGAGAAAGTAGTTTATTAAATTTAATGTACAGGAACAACTAAATAAAACTTTTACATAACCGCGACTACATAACAACGTTTGCAAATGACACAAACTATTTGTTTCAGGAAACCATAGAAAACAAAGGAATTAGGCTTAAAATATACTATATCTTATAAAAAGTTAAACAGATATAATCCCAAGTCAAACATATTAAAACTGCGTCAAAGCGAACACTTATCGCTTTAAACATTCATAAGAAAGATGTAAATAATCGTTAAAATTTATAGTTTCCCTTTTACATAAATTCCGAACTGGAGAATTAAAATAACTCTAATAAAATCTTACGATATAAAGAAAATACGAATCTTTTGGGATTTATAGGAGTAAATCATACAAGTGAATAAAACTCACCATAACAGTATATATAGCATTTAAGTACAGGTAAATATGTTTATATATTGGCTTGTATAATATGATAAGAGGTGAAAATGATGAATACATTTAACCAAAAATGTTTCAAACAGTCAACAAATTTTTATAGTCATACATGGCTGGAAGTTAGATGAGCTTATATATGGTTGAAAGTAATTAGGTATATCATGCAAACTACTTGTGAGTAAAATCAGATATAACATTAGTACATATTACTGAAACATTTATTCCCCTCAGTTAAAAAGACCAAAAGCTAGAAATAAATTATAATATAATTTGATATGAAAATTTGAGTAGTAGTGGTGATTGTCACATAAATATATAGGCTATTTAATTAAACCTAACAATCTCTTAAATGATATTTACAAATAAGTAAACCACAAGACAACTCGTTAGAATTTCAAATTCATGTATAATGAGGCGAAACAATGTAAGAGACTTAGCTTCTATGTATGCGAATGAATATAATAATACAAAACTAAATCTGTAATTTATACGAAACATTCTACAAAAATAACGTGACCGAGTTACGTATTCAATCGCGATTTCTTATTGACGATATCAATAGGAAACACGGAAATGAACCGGTGGGAGATTAAATTTTTCAGCTGTGGTAACAACTACCACGAGCACAAGAGATAATTTCATAAGCCACTATTAAGTCTTACGAAACAAAATTACATCTGAAGTTTGTGCTAATGATGTCGTTCAGAAGAACGACCAAACCATCCAGCTCAGAGAACAAAACTCCACCAAAATCATCCACCTGAGCTACAAATCTCCACCATCTCACATTGTGCAGTTTCCATCATAAACTGATCTTAAATAGGCAACCATCCCAGATCAGGAAGCACTGTAAAAATCGATTTACCCTAGTATCAAATTCCTAAGCAATGCATAATCACAACCTCATCGGGAATCGAACCTACGATTTTTAGGTCTTGTGGCCACGCCCCCAAATGCCTTGGTATGGCCTAGAGTGGGGTGAGCCCGCCCTCCCTCTAGAAATGCTCTCACACGACCACGCGTATATAGCCTCTGCCAGGGAAGTCCTACTTACTGCCTTCTCGTGGTGGTGTTTATACGAAAATGAGAGGACGAAAAGCGAATGTCCGGCGCTTTAACCGGATCCCAAACCAAATCAATGGTGCACATGGGCTCCAGTATCTTGCGGGAGCAAATGGAGTATAAAACCAATCGTAGGTCACCGGCTACCATGGGACTGCATCTCCTCACGACGCTCCACTGCCTTGTGGGTTAGACCATTAGGTCAAAGGCTCGGGGTGTGGCCCCCTAAGGAAACCACCCGCTTCGGTTTGGGCACTCAGGCAGTATCTCAGCCCGCACACAAAAACATGGCAAACTATCTTGGACGATGGGTAGAGTTCTTCGAAAGGCAGATCAACTGGCCTGCTGCTCCGGCAACATCGGTCAGACTGTCCTGCCCTCCATGGCCGGTGACGACTGATCCACCAAATGAGGCGGAAGTCTGCAAGGAACTCCGACTCTTTAAACACTACAAATCACCTGGCCCAGATGACTTACCTCCGGCTCTTTTTTAAGATGGTGGTGACTTTTTGACTAAGGAATTGACGACGTTGTTTACAAAGGTTTGGGAGCTAGAGAGTGTTCCAACTTCATGGAATGAGTCGATAGTTGTCCCTATCTTTAAAAACGGTTCACGTCGTTCCTGTAACAACTATCAGGGGATAAGTTTACTTCCGATTGTGTCCAAGCTATTGGCTTCGTAGGTTGTTCAAAACCTGAGAAAGATTGACTCTCGAGGAACAGGCTGGGTTTCGTTCTGGTAGAGGATGTATTGATCATATCTTCATCCTCCGCCAAATGTTAGAACACCGTCATACTTATCACAGTCCAACAATCGTAGTGTTTCTTGATATCAGGGCTGCTTTCGATTCGTTGGATAGGACTGTTCTCTGGGATTGTCTATTGAAGAAAGGTGTGCCTGAGAAGTTTATTAAGATCCTAAAGGCCCTATATACAAACACCTCAAGCAGAGTGAGGGCATACAACCACCTCTCTCCAATGTTCTATTCGAGCAGTGGGGTTAGAGAGGTTTGCCCAATGTCACCATTCCTCTTCAACTTTGCCATCGATGACATTCTGGAAACAGCTCTGATGAATGTAAGTAATGACAGTGTGGATCAGTTGCCTGAAGAAAGACTTCTCGACCTTGAGTATGCGGATGATATTGTCTTACTGAGCGATAATGCTCAAGCCACGCAATCCGCACTTAATCACTTGGCAGTGTCCGTAGGTATGGTATGCGCTTTGAACTTTCGAAGTGCAAAGTACTTCTACAAGACTGGCAGGATTCTAATTCTGTATTCACTCTGGATGGTGAACAGATAGAAGTAGTCTAGAAGTTCGCGTATGTGGGTAGCTGCATAAGTGCTGGTGGGGGTGTGAGTGATGAGATCAATGCACGTATAGCGAAAGCCAGAGCAGCTTATGCCAATCTGGGCCATCTTTGGCGCCCTCGTGATGTTAGTCTGGCTGTAAAAGGTCGGATCTAAAACGCGTCGGTGAGAGCAGTTTTGCTCTATGCTTGTGAAACCTGGCCTCTCCGAGTTGAGGACGTTAGACGACTTTCTGTGTGCGATCATCGCTGTCTCCGAAGGATTGCTGACATCCAGTGGCAACACCATGTCAATAATACAGAGGTTCGGCATCGTGTGTCCGGGCACAGAGACGATAATTCAATTGGTGTCACCATCTTGAAACATCGACTTCGGTAGCTTGGACATGTTCTCCGAATGTCGTGCCAGAGAATCCTACGTCGTGCATTATTTGCCGACTCTGGGACTGGTTGGAAAAAGCGGAGAGGTGGTCAGTGTATGACATGGTGTCGTAGTATGAAAGAAAGCTGCAAAGGGCTGGTTTGTGTTGGTCCCTCACGAATCCCTGGCTCGGGTCCTAGAGATGGTGCAACACAGTGGCTAGAGAAGTTATCAGATATGGCTCAGAATAGAAGCCAGTGGCGATCCTGCTGGGAACTTCCTTTACTTTCTTTATAAAAAGTGGTTGTACCTTCCTTAACTGAAAGATTTCTCCTGATTGTACCTTTCCGTTCCCCCCATTATTATTATTACACTTCCTTACACCAGTCTGGTCGTTATTGTTCTCTTTTTTTTACGCTCCTTACCGTCTTTTTTCTCTTACCATTTTCATTGTTTTGTGTGGTGCATATATATTTGGTGCCCTCTTGTACCAATATTTGTGTGTTCAAATAAATAAATAATGAGACCACTGTTTAACCTTTGAACCACCGAACCAAAATTCAACGACTTATATGTGTAAATTTCATCAATTCGTAGTATTTCCCAACTATCTTCCAATGTCATTTGTATGTAATTGCTGCATACACAACATAGTTGAAACCAACCACAACAGAACTACAGGGGATTATCGCACAAAACTGGTCACTAGTGAACATACGATTATGATTTAGTACTGGGGTTAGTCTGTAATTTAAACCATAAAATTCAAAAATTTTCATAATTTTTACATTATTTAAGTCTAAAATTACTATTGCAAATGTATGAGAGAGTAATTTCACTTACCATAAGATGATTGGTTTGTATCAAAACATTATCTAATAAATATTTCATATGTAATGCTAATACCTCTGGAAGTTGACTATTTTCACTTGACATAATTGTCGGTGGAATAAAAATGTAGATTAAATTCAAATGTAATAAATTTCTAATAATTGAAAATGGTTTCACTGATGTAGTAGATTTGTTAAAATTCATCCCCTCTAACCATAAATTATCAATATTGACCATTGGTAATAATAGAAAATGATAAACAGATGAACTGCTGTTTCTTCTTTGTTCAATAAGATGATCGCTGTCAGCGACAAAATGGTAAAGTATCGTAATAATTAAATTAAAATGAAAATATACATACATAACATCAATGCACTGAGAAGTCGGTTTACAAGATGGTGGATACACGTACCATAATCAAATAAATAAAACTATTACTTCAGATCAATCGATTGTAAAAGTAATCATAATATGTGAAAAACTATCCCTATACTAAATAAATATCTAATTAGTTGAGAGCGTGATAAAACTAACTAATCAATTCTATTTTTATTGATCGAATAAAATACTGAATTTTTATGATAAACTGAAATCACAGAAATATTCCATACGGTTATTGTTACACTGTCACCAGAGAAAAAAAAGTTTCAGATTCCAAAATATTCGCATAATCATCTTATGCATTGAAGGCGGAGAAAAAACATATTGACATAAATGCCATTTATCAAATTCAATAAATATTTAAATGTTATAAAGAAATGAAAACATTTTTGTCAATGTAAGTATGCGTGTAACTTCATCTGTAGTTAGGTATCATTACCAAGGTTTGACTTGATAATTTCGAATAAATTGAGCATCTAAGATACTTTTCAAAACAGATCAATGCACTTTAATCGCACATCAAATTTACTAACGAGAATAAAAGTGAACATGGTCAGCTACCATTTTAGATTGCTTAGTGAAAAGAAATCTAAATGGAATTTTAAATCTATCCATCTACCGAAAACCTACACACTCTAATCGTTATATTGATTTTAATTCAGCACACCCATTCAGTGCAAAGATCTCGCTAGCCCTAAATCTTTTTAGAAGAGCTAACAAGATTATCACATCGGAAGAAGATGAACAAAAGGAACTAAAGAATGTAATTAGCATTTTGCAATTTAATAAATTTTCTATGAAGATTATTGGAAGTATATTAAAACAAGACGTATCATTGCGTAATAATAGTAATTCGAATGAAATACCATGGATTGGTACTGCAGTTTGACTATACTGTCACGGCACAACAGAAGAACTTCAAACAATCTTAAAACAACACAGAATTAAAGTATATTACAAAACAACGAAGACACTTCAAAATACTTTAGTTCGCTTAAAAGAAAAAATTCCCCTTCATGTCAATACAGAACTGTATATAAATTTGGATTCGTCGATTGTGATACCTTCTATATTGGGAAGATATCTCGTGAAATCTTGACTCGAGCCAAAGAACATATTAGGTACACAAAGAAACCTGATAATCCCATAGAACTGGATAAACTCCAAATTACATTGGCAAAATCAGTCCACGTAATTTTCATCGACCACCAAATCGATTTCAAAAATATCAAAATACCACAAAAAGGTTTTTTTTCAATTACAAGGAAAGGAGAGTAGCTGAAGCTTTCTATATAATGCTTAATCTTACTGCTCTCAATAGAAAAGAATGCCTTACTATACGTCATACTTGGACGACCTATTCTAGCCACCTAGTCTGATATTATTCACAATTTACACTATTATCTTACAAATTAAACTCTATCCTTTCTCACCACAAATGTCACACATTTTTCATCCTTAACAGTGCAAACATACACACACACAAATTTACATACATGTCGCTTATGAATCACATTGACCGAAACGACATAACATTAATTTCTTCAGCCCTGTCGTTTGATTGATCACATAATATTCTTGTTGTTCGATTTATACTATTTAAACTTGGATTAATTTTGATTTGGTTATTTATTCTCTGAAGAAGTGGCTCACACCAAGTCACCAAACGTCAGAAAATTTAATTTTTCTACTCACTGGGATATTACAAATATATTAATTTATTCGTCTGTACCTCTTCAAAGGTTAGTGCCGATCCAAAGTCGGTGGGAATAAAATAGGTAAGCGGAAAACACCAACTGCGATATACCAAATAAAAGGTATTTTAGCGAAGATATCTTTTATAGGAAAATTTTGTTCGAATGCCGAAGCGTTATTAGCTACCAATCCATGCTACTGGTACGAATTAATATAACGGCCATAAACAAATTACTTAAATATTTCAAGACCTATTTTTATGTTAGACAAAACTCTTATGGAGTGTGGAGTAATGTTTCCTAAAATTGTTGATATTGTCGCTCACCATGTTTACAAAATTAGGAATGGTCTCACTCTATTGTAACAGTAAGTTGAGTGGATAGGGAAACAATTCTACTGAAGTTGAAGGAATAAAGCATTGAGTATGCACGGATAAAAATGGACAAAGTGATCAATCCTCACAGGTTACGCTAAACCATTAAATGTGATAAGCTTACGACAAAAACTGGAACAATAATATAAGTGACCAAAGAAACACTGGGCTATGAAATCAAAATAGGATGATAACTTATAGTTAGCTTACAATGTCCTCATTTTCAGTGATGACTGGTAGTAATTAGATCCAGAGCCGAGACTGTTACTAACTCTGGTTTATATTAGTTAAACTATATGAAATTTCAATGTTAATTTCTGGTATATACACTGATGTCTGGTAAAAGTGAGACTGAAAAGTCATACGTTAAGTCACCATTTCACTATTAATAGACAAGATTAAACGATTCTTTAAGAAAAAAAATCAAAGTAACATATATGCAGCAAAAATTTCACAAAAACTGATAGTTATATTAAATAAAGCTAATACTGTTCTGCCACAGATATATTATTATATTGTTTTGTTATTGTACGGCATATATGTGGAGCAGGAATGAGATACAAACTTTATTCAGGAGTGGGGTTCAACAACTACTACTACCTTTAAAATGATGGCAAAATGTTCACTTTATTAAAATATTGTGATCTAAACTGGTATGTTTAACCACACCAAGAAAACATTAATTCTCTTGCTTAAAAAATGATGTTTGTTTATTCGTTGAATCAATCAACAAACTCTGTTTATGTCAATAACTCTTGAGTTCTAATTCTATAATCAATATTTGAATTGTATACAGTATTCCACTATGAATAAGCGATTCAATATAAAATTGTATATTTAGAAATTATTTAATAGCTTATAGGTTAATTAATTCATTAAGCGTTTTTATTCGAAAAGCTACAAACTTTTAAATAAATCAAAACATAAATATATCAATCTTGTCCTGAAAAGTATGATGAATTTAAACGCTACTACTGATATTAACTAGTAGTAGGCTGTATTTCTTAGAGATATGTCAGCAGTGTGCAGTTATCACCAATGGTATCAAATGATTGGAAGCTGACCTAACAGTTTAATGACTAGGAGTTAGTCAGGAGACCCGCAGTTCCCGAGTCCAATCATGGTTAGAGTTGTGAGTGCGCAATACTGAAAGGCGTCATAAAATGATTAGACACCCATCCACTGATCTTTAGTTTTCAAAAGTATACTGAAATCAATTTGTGACGAATATAACCCACAAATTAAGCTAACCTCCGTAAAATCACTTCAATTTAACTTCCAGAACGATACCAATTCAATGGCGTCATTAAGATCGCTTTGATTTAATTGTACATCACCATCAGAACGGAATGATAAATGTTTGTCAATAGATTTACCCACTATACTATCTATCAGACTGTAAATCTACGACAGTCCGTAAGAATAATGTCAGATTTTCTGTTAAATTTTTTTTTTGATGGATGCTAAAACCGTTTTTCTATTTAGGCTTTTTCAACTAAGTTCCTTAATTTAATTTTCGAAAACGATGGAAGAACTTTTGTGGAGATTGATCTCAGTTGAAGTACCACTGAAAATTCGGAGGCACGAGATAACTGAATGGGAGGAAGAGGAAATAGCTAAGAAGAAACTACGAGGAAATGGCTGTTCACCGCGCTCCCGTTTCCAAGGGTACGTCAACTGAAATCGTTAAGCAACGGATACAACCTACAAATTTTCAAACTATTCAAATATTACTTTACTTTTCAAAGCTCTTCGGAGTGTCTTTTATATCGAAAGCATTCAATAAGCTTAAATTTTTTTCAAATGTTAACCAAAAGCTAAGAATATCATTTGAAAGCGACTTTGTATATGTTCGGATTTCTAAATGATTCATCATTTGTCTGGTATTTACATGATAATTCATTAAAATTTCATCAGAGCCATCTGTCACCGTAAATGCTTGCTGCTCCAAATTAAAACGGGTAAATATTTCACTGATTTGGTGTAGACTTCGATCATCAAGTTCAGCATGAAAATTGAGCACATTGATCTGATGAGAGGTAAGAAAATAGAAGTAAACAAACAATAACCTATTTAAAACAGCTTGTAACAATGAAGTTTATCATATTGTTAACTGCCTCTGAATCATTTGGCATATTCCATGTGGCGACAACATATTATTATTATTATTATTAATGCTAATATACACATATGTAAAACCTTGATCGGGACCAAGCAAATGAGCAAAAGCACCATATGGTAAATGACCTAACTACATAGTAATGATACTTTCAAGGAATAATCAGTTAACCATAAAAACAAAAGTTTCAATAACGATCCTTATGTTTTTGCTTTATCGATATGGTGAATAGGTGTTGAAGTACAAACGCGGCAAGTATTCAGTTTTTGTTTAACGAACAGTTGTTAATATAATTATCAATCTCACCCTCCACTTCATCCGTCCGTCGAACTAAAATAACTTGTGAAATTGTCTTTTCCTCGGTAAACCATGTTTAACTGCAACCACATCAATGGTAGGAGTTTTATTATCGTTAATTTTTACATTCCTTCAGTTTGTTTCCACCAACTGGTAACTACTTCTTATTCATCTAGCTGCATAATTAACACATACAGTTTGTTCATGTAGATTGATTACAACTGGCTGCTTTCATTGGGATATCTTAAATAATAAAATTTAGCCTTGGGTCAACATTTTAGTGCATCAAATAGAAAACCTTATCTGAAACAACTATCACTGAGTAATTACAACACAATCACGAATTAATCGATGAAAACTAATGGGTTCTGCGCTTACCTGTACAAGCGAGAGTTCACGATACTAGGTAAATTGTCAAATAGACAAAATGGTTACTAATACCTTGACGTGGTGTTTGGGATTTGATAATTAAATAACTCAATAAAACTAAACTAGCTGAAACCATACCAGATAGGTTGATTGGAGTTTGAAAACTGAAAGCAGTAAACTTAAGGTCTAGAAGTGAAGTTGTACTCCCGTGTGCATAGATCTGTAACTACAGTGTGGTGTTTTCCAGATAAAACCAGAACCTGCAGCGATGATATCTCCTCATAACGGAAGGAGCGTGTTAGAAAAAATCCCCTCTACAAATAACACAACATACCGTGCTACACCGATTTCCGTCGTCAGCGACAAGTTTTGAAAATTACGGAGTTAACAAATAAAGACCTACTAGCAAGAGACGTGTGCGACTGACCATAATTAAACATTATCCAGTGTTACCAACACCACCCTCCTAATACAGTTTATTTTTCACATAACTCCAGACGTATCCATTTTAGCGTGGGTAACTTCGAAGTCAAGATCACTTATATCTCTATTTGAACATAATAACACCATTTTAATCACGACCAAATCCCACCTATCTATTTCCGAGACCCATCATCTGTCATCTGTCTTTGACTTCTCCCATATGTGCCACCAGTGCTCATGATCCGAGTTTATGGAATACTGTCCGAGGTATCTTGAAACTAAACCGAAGTGAAATGAGTATTGAATACCTGGACTTTAATGGTCAAAAATTAACTCCTCCAACCACTTCTTCTATAATTACCAATGCGGAGTAGGCAGTTCATCACCTGGAGTATTCGTCTTTCAACCAACGTGTCGTATGCTACAATTCTCATCCCCGTTTCTTCAACCGGGTATTATATATATATATATATATATATATATATATATATATATATATATATATATATATATATATATATATATCATGCCCTCCATACAACTACTGCAACCACAAAGTCAAGTACGCACATCTATACTTTATAAATAAATTGGACGGAAATTAAACTTTTCAGAGTCCCATTTATCTTAAATAAATAAATAATCACTAAACAATGTTATTCCATTTTAAACACATCAACAAGTTACAAAAAACCATTATAAACGCATCGGACTCAATTCACCAAATGAAATTTCGCTCAACACATACTTACTGGTACAGTTATCTCAATTTTACGCGAGCTTAATATTTGAATCTCGTTATAAGGCAATGAAGCGTGATATGGTGTAGTAGTTTTCCACCATAAAGGTACTCCAATCAGAATTGTAATCAGCAAATAGAATATTGAGTTGACGATAGTCTTGCATTTTTCTTCAGGCGTTGCTTGATATGTTTGTAATTCTGGATAGTTGTCAAGAGATGTTTTGAATTGAGATGATGACTTGTATGAATTATGCATCATCATTGTCATTAACAATCCTGTAAAATATGAAGCACACAGAATATTGAGATGAAGAAAATTGTGATAAACACAGCTAGATGTAGACTTGTGTACACTAGACTAGATTTACAAATTCCCCATTAAGTATGAAAGTTAATTGCACTACTCCCACTAATAGTGTTCGTGCGTTTACATAGATTATTAGTTAAGCATTCACCTTCCCGATAAGTAGATCAGAATTTTGAACTTTGATCCACTCATAATTTAGAAAGTCACATATTTGTAAAGTCTCAATCAGTAGAAAATCGAAACTCACGAGTTGCTACCCACAGAGAATATACAAACAACCATATCTTACATGGTTGCAATTATATCCTACTGCAGAGTAAGGTAAAACTACTGTAACAGCCTATGATATTTCATTACTTCTTTTTAAACAAATCACCCCGTTTTAAAAAGTATTCATAAGAAAGTTACTGAGCTCCAAGATCGTCATTGTATTCGCCTTCTGATTTAAAAGTTTTGGTAATTCTTCTGAATGAATTTAAAGCGCTGAAAATTCTTCCACTAAATAATATGTGCTATCGAACTCGACATACTGATTATAACGTGTCGGTTTACGGCAAATGACTACATCCAGAATTCCATTTAAACTTCCTTTGAGTAAGCAATCTAACAATGACACCTCAGTGAGTTCGTTTTCATTTCCGAAAGTGGATAAAAATGTGAATCTATATGGAACATAAGTAAGCAACAATCAGGAACATAGGTGGGACTCACGTCCACTTTGTCTTCATCTATAGTCCTTCTTTGAATGTAAATAAAATCGAATTGAAGCACAGTTCAAGGAATAAACTGATGTTTGAACGATTCTAGATAGCCAACAACGAAATAACCAGAACCTTTATTAATAACGTCGTAAACACCATATCCATCAAACAAATCAATGTCTACCCGGATTCAGTAGCTCAGTGAATAACGCTCTCATGTTTGAAGTGAAAAGGTACAGGAGATTGAGTCTTAATGTGAATATCAACACTAAGACGCAAACACATTCAACCGATGAGTCTGAAACGGGAAGAAAGTCTGTTGTATCCTCTTGTTAGTCACAGCTCATCTATTGTGCGAAATCTCATTAGATCTCATAACATCGAAACTAATGAAGACAAAACAATCGTGAGTATTCAAATTCCTAAAATCAGATTAAGATGAAAACCTTTTCTCACGGTAAGAATCAAAATAAGGCTTTATCGGGAATCAATGTCAGCTACAGAAAATTAATCAAAACTATGATGGAAATCTGCTCGTTTTCACAAACATTAAGTAATGACAAACAGTCATTTGGTCATTCATTTGTAAGTAGTTTCGATATGAATTCTGTGAAATTCTAGAGAGGTGCTATGATGTGTGAAATTAATCCAATCTGGTGGGAAACACTTACTCATGGAATTGACTTTAGTAATAAATTTGGACCACTGAATATTGTATTCGCACAGATACCAGGTGATTAAGTATTGAGGACTGGTCAGAAGTATTAACCAGAAACGAGTTTATATGTGGTTCCTGATTTTCATAGTACTTTAACTGAAATCAGTTCCTGGTGAATAATAATGTTGGGAAACTATCCACTAATGTGATACCCTTATACAACTATCCTATACATTTGTTGAATAGATATATTCATAGAGATATGGTTGAATGATTTCGTCAATCAAATTTTAACCATTAAGCCACAAATCGGAATAAATCTTTATTTAACTAAGTTTGGAAAGTCAAGTATTTTCTTCTACCTGCAAACAAAACGTGTAGTTCAAAGCTTGATAAATCAGTGTTTAGTTAACGAATTGGATTAACAGTTTGTTAATTATTGGTGAAATAATAAACAACAAACACAACATATAACACTAATAGAGGAAAGAAATTAGAGGATAAATGTAATATATTTATTTGTTTATAGAATAAAATAGTTTTGTCCATAAAAATCAAACATCATAAATGATCTTCTCTTGGATCAAAAGACAACTTTTCCATAAGTTCTGTAAATCTAGAAATATCATCATTATTATCCATTTCATTATTCTTTTCCAAAGATTGAAATTTTGAAGTATTTGATTGATTTAAGCGACTGAATCGGCAAACTTCGGAATAAGCAGGATCTACAGGAACTTGTACTGGTGGCTTGACTATATGATCAGGGTCTAAAGTGTACGTGACATCTGGGTCAAAACCTCTTAAATCTCCACACGCCATGAATGGTAATAGAGCTTGTTGAGAAGAATTAACCTAATAAATAAACAAACAAAAATGTCTCAAAATCACTATAGCTTAACTCTATATTCGATTTGTGAATGAGAGTATCAATAGGAAAATTAATGCAACATAAAGATAAACGTTTAGATTTACAGGCTGAAAGAATGACTTTTAAATATTGTTTTGCTATTTGACTTGTAACGAATTATTTGGAGCTCAGCATTCTTACAGCAGTCATAGATAACGAAGTATTTTCATACATTTTTATACATCGGTCCTCAAAATCTCATACTTGAAAACAGGAATGACCAATGGTTGACCACAACCACTACTCAACTTCAAAAATATGATTGTAAAGAAATACACATAGCTATAAACAGAACATGAGAACGGAATATTCTCTTGGCATTTTGCATAACAAACTGAGTATTGAAGGCATAACATGTTAACATACGTCTTCAAAGTTATCCTTGTCGTACCATAATAATAGCAAATTATCGTTGCTTGAATGATTCTCAAAAGATGTGGATGGTTTCAAATCTGTCCGTAAACGAGGACCCATAAATCCACGACATACAACAAAGGACTCTAAACTAGAGTTCCGACTAGCTCTTGGTTTTGCAAAACTAACTTCACCCGAAAACAAAAGTCGGAGTTGGGAACCTAGTAAACCAGAATCTCGTCCACGAAAAACCTTAGCAACAAATGTACCACCAAGCTCAAGAACTCTTGAACAGATAGTTATAGCAGCTAAGATAAGATGCGACTGAACATATTCATCCAAATCATGTAGACCTGTCACTACAAAAATAATAAGAAAAATGTTAGCAAGATCATTAATACGTGGAGTAAGGATTTTAAGATAAAAGTACACTACTCAATAAAAATTGGCAGTAGAACACAGAGTCAAAAAAATAAACCTAATACAAAGTGGCATATATTTATACCAAAAGTTTAAACGGACAGAAGTCAAAACTTACACATAATCAATTTACAAATAGAAAATTATTAACTTGAAAAGCTCACACTCACTTACCATCTGGAGCACCATCACAAACAACAAGTTGAGCTAACTTGCCGTCAAAATGTTTTATAATCTGTTGAGCCGTATCCTGACTAGTAATATCGCCTTGAATTTGAATAACTCCTGGTATTGGGGCCATAGCCTGTAGATCTACGGCAACGATTTTCACCTTCATTAAGAAATATCAATAATGAAATCTCAAAATGTATGCAGTACAGATTTTTGATCCTCTGGGGATTTCGATTCCCATAAACGTTTTGATAATACTTGTGACCAGCTACCAGGTGCAGCACACAAATCAACCACTCGTTCTAAAGGAGCATTTTCTGTAAAAGTGGGGAAGCAAAATAAGTGGCAATAGGAGCTCTGATCTTTAATTCGAAAAAGTTCCAGATTTACAAACCAATCTGTAAAAAACTGTTATTATTAGTTGACAAAATCTCATGGAAATACACCATATTCTTGAGTTGTAGCCGCTAAGACTATCTGAAGCCACCACGATGTGCAAAATTCATTAAAAGCAATTGATTATTTCAATCGACTTGACATTTAGTAACTTATTGGTACAACCGCTTTCCATCTATAACTTTGCAAGCTCTGAGATTGCACTAGTAGAATACTGTATCAAATTTAGCTATGTTTTAGTCAGTCGAATGCTATGATGATATGAGGGTCAAAGTGGATTTTTCAACGAAAACCTTAAACTAATGGTAGATTTCACTACTCACTAGCCAAGGAATACTTATATGTAGTTGACGAACCGTTGGAATAGTACAGAAAAATCTACGACAACAAGTCTCAAACTTATGTGTAAACCAATTTAAACGCTTCTTTATTCAACTTACTAGTTTACATTGCCATTAATGATTGGACATCGTTGCATCTACTTTGTCGCGGTGGTTAAGTTTGTTTACTATAACGAAACAATTGAGTTATATTCCCTACATCACTTGTTTCTTTTCATTTTGCTAGTAGACAAATCCGCCGGAAAGTGGGCTAACGGAAAGGAGTGAATTTCAGGTCCAAGAAGAAAATCCTGATTACTGGCCCTATTCAAAGTGTGGTGGGAACAGCCTTTCCCAGACAACCGGCGACACCGCTTTTAAATAAATAGCAGAGTTGAAATAGGTTACTAGTAAAATAAGCACATAATCTTAGCTCCAATAATTCTCCTTTCTTATAGTGTAGTTTGAAACACGTGGACTAACCTTAAGAAAGTCGGAACAGCTATTCACAAAACAGTCGTGTTAGAGCCACTTAAAAGTTATCCCTTAGGTTGTTTAATGAGGTTCACATGTGAATAATGCCAGCATTCACACTATCTCTTCATAAGAATAATCATAACGGATTCTTCTATGACTTCAATCAGTTTGTCTATCAATCAGTGGACTTCTATTAAAAAAATTTAGTATAACTCGAGTGGTATATTTCATTTTGCCCATAAATCTAAACTACCATACACTTACCAGGAGAAAAAATTCCATACTCATCATCAATTTGTAGCAGCTTATAGGCACTACGTGCTCTCCAACCCTCTTCTTTAGCTAATCTATAGTAAATATCACGTTTATCGCGTGAAGACTTCCCCATTATTGATGGCTTCTCTGAAACGGGTAAAATTAAAAGTATGCTTTAAGTTTTGGGGCAACAATCCCAGTAATCTGGTATTCAATTAGCACTATAGTAAACTAGAATCTGTTGACAGAACGAAAACTCACTAGTCTCTTTAGTAGGATAAATGAAACTAAAATTATTATTATTATTAATTTTGTTATTAATGGCTTTATTCAATATTATATTTTGGTACAATATAGAATTCTCAGGGCAACAATCATATCATAATGAAACGAACACTTCAGTATTGCTATTAAATGAGTGGATATAGCAAATAAGTATTGTAAGAATTTTTACATAAAACCAGAACACTAAGGCTAGAAGACTCATCTCCAATTTATTTTGTGTATATGTAGTTGTAACCAGCAAGTTTTTCGGTCCGAGATCATTGAATAGATTTCAGCAGTAATAAACACTCCTGTAACTGATACTTACACAACTCGTTAGCTATGAGACCTTTCCAAAGAGGACAGGAACTCAGATGGTTGGAGTTGAAAACTATTAGTCAGCAACTGCCGTAAAAATATTGGAAGGTGATTCTACTTGAACCGACCAAATGATGATGATACAATTTGAGGAAACGTTGGGAGTCAGCAGTATAGCTGCCTACTATCTAGCAACTAACACAGTAAGGGAGCGATTGAATCGACAACTGCATCACTGTGCTAATATGGTATGGCAACTTGAACTGATGTACGTACGTACGAAGTTCTACGTTGTTACTGACTGACAGACAATTCCAAGCTTAAAACATGTGAAAATACGTGAAATATGACCAGTCAAAGACGAAAAAGAGCAGACACTAATATCCCGATGGACTATCCTCGGTAGATTTCAATTTTGGAGGACTAATTTTGGTTTAATTGACTGGGTAGTTAGTCTCGGAGTTTGGTGGCATTTCATCTAACTGATCGCAGTCACTGACGACCAAGTAGTATAGACGTTTTCACACTGAGTAGTCAACGTTTGGAACCTACTGACAGAAATGGTTGACATGTGTTACGGTCGTCCGAGTCTGACTGACAGAGAGTATCAGTGATGCAAGCACTTAATAGACTCGTTCAAGAGAAAACTACAAATATACAAAGGCCTACTGCAAAAAGACTAACATAGACCTCCAGCCCTCTTTCCTCAAAATACAAATCTCATCTGTTTAAAAATAGATAGTAGTCCAATTGTGATGATCAGAAAGGAATTATTTCAATCAATGGTGATTAAAGTCTAAGCTACTAAAATCCTTGGATGGTTTTCCGAAACATATGATCAAGGAGTCCGGAGAAACAAGCTGGTAATAAGTGGATTAAGATGATCGAGTACTTAACTCATGAGATGTTTCAGAACTTGGAAATATTGCCATCAGTCCTTATAAGCACACACTCGTAGTGTGGCCTTATAACTTATGGTAATAGTAACTCAGTTCAGCCTAGACGCACTTTTCTCGAACTCTTAGAATGCACTCACACTTTATAAGGAGAGAAATCGACAACAATCTGAAGTAAAACAAGCGTGAGATTAAGGGAATATTCCAATTGGGACCAAAGATTGACGACGCAGTGTCGGCAACGCTTAAATGGTATCGTTCACTGATGTAGGTTGCGAGCACTTGAAGGTCAAACTGTCCCAAGACGATTGGTGCATCACATCGACAATTCATGAAAACTTTCAGAAGCGGTAAAATCAAGACATTTTTAGATTTGAATTGAGTTCAGCCACACCATGTCTGATAACGTTCATTCTTCAAGTAACGAAGACGATGCCATCGTAATGATGACGAATCTTCAATGATATTATGTTATCTCGAAGATTTACAAGTTGGGACAATTTTCAGTTTCAGTTTGTGAAGGACAGGAGGCCTGATGGCCTGTGTTAGTCCTGGCAATGGTGGTCCCTCAGTTGATCCAACTTTCTCTTGAAAGGATCGACGGATGGAGCCTCAACCATGTGCTGAGGTAATGAATTCCACTCGTTGATGATTCGATGGGAAAGTCGATAGTCAGCTGACAAGTAATTTGTTCTTGGCTTGTGACCTTTTTTGGAGTGTCCTCGTAAATTCTCTGTTTTGGAATACAAGAAAAATGAATTCATATCAGGTGCGAATTTGGCACTAAGCAATTTGAAAACTGTATTCAAGTCGCCTCTAGTTCTGCGATATGACAACGGGAAAAGGTTCAGCTTGGCCAGTCGAGCTTCATATGGAAGCTTCGCTATTCCGGGAATCAGCTTAGTTACCGTTCTCTGAACCTTTTACAGAAGCTCACTGTCTTTTTTAAGCAGAGGCTGGCCGCTTGTATGCAGTACTTAAGTTTAGGACGTACGAAAACTGTATACAAAGTCAAAAACGTCTTAGCGTCGACATGACTAAAAGCCCTACGTATTGACCATAACGTTCTAAAGCCTTTGGCGGCTATTGCACGGCAGTGTGCAGTGGTCTTTAAGTCTTGACTAACGATAACTCCTAAGTCATTATATGTCTGGACGACAGGTAGCTCAGTGTTTTTCATCGTGTATGTAACTGTGCCTTGATGACCAATATGCATCACAACACACTTGAAAGTATTTATCGGCAACTGCCAGGTTAGAAACCATTCAGATTATTTCTTCAGGTCATTTTGGAGTTCTAAGCTATCACACTTACATCGTATCGTTCTCCATATCTTGACATTGTCAGCATATAGCAAGACCGATGATGATACGAGATGAGGAAGGTTATTTACATACAACAGGAATAGCACTGGCCCCCAAACTGTACCCTGGGGCACTCCACTAAGCACAGTTTCCCAGCTAGATAACTTTGAGTCCACCCGAACTCTTTGTTGACGCCCAACTAAGAAGTCTTTTATCCACATAAATAGATTGTCTTCAATCCCGACATTTCTTAACTCACATAACAGCCGATTGTGCGAAACCTTGTCAAAAGCTTTGCTGAAATCAATGGAGGCTACGTCTACAGGTAGCTTTTGGTCCTTAAGAGCGCACCAGCTTTCACGAACCACTAATTGGTTAGTGAGACAAGAGTAACCTATTCTGAAGCCGTGCTGCTTCTCCGAGAGGATCCAGTTTTTATCGAAATACTTAAACAGCTCCTTCCGAATAATCTTTTCTAAGATTTTAACAACCACACTAGTTAGGCTAACGGGGCGGTAATTCTCAGGTTTGTGTTTCGTACCTGTCTTGAAGACAGGACTTACTATGGCGTTTTTTCAGTCTTTGGGTAGACAACCCTCCGTTACTTAAAGGGTTTGCAACGAAGTTAGATAATTCCTTCAGTAGCCTAGGATGTAATTCATCGGGTTCCGTGGATTTACCTATGTCAAGCTTATTTAGTAGACCAAAGACATCGATTTATTTAATGATCACGCTATCTAGTGTATGTGTGGAGGAATCTGTATGCGCTGATGGGAAGGGTGCTTCTATGGTGTATACATTGCTGAAGTAGTTTGAGAACACTTGAGCCTTACCAAAGTCGTCCTCCACTAGTGATGCGGCAGTGCTATCTCCCCATACAGCAGGAATATTTCCTCTTCGCTTCGTCCTTCGGTTTATATAAGAATACAAGCGTTTAGGACATTCTATGGATTCCTTAACAATCTTTTCTTCGTACAACTTTCTGGACTTACGGAGGTTCGAGGCACAGGTATTCCGGACTTTTCTATACTGAGATTTAGTTTCATCAGTCCCCAGTAACCTAAATCTATCCCATATTTTTTTACTTACGGAGAGGGATACGGACCTCCCTACTGAACCATGGTGGGGAGTTTCTCGGTCCCCTTGGTATAGTCCAAGGGATGTGGGGTGTGGTAACTTTTAAGTATGAATTTCGAAATGCGTCCCAGGCCGTTTCAATTGAGGACTCTGGGTCTATTGTCCAATCTACTAACGATGCTGAGTTCATGATGTCCGGTATGTTTGCTTTCCAGAAGTTGGGTCTGGACTGGACTGACGCGTGCTCGTGACTGACAGGTATATTGAAATCGAAAATTAAAACTGCGTGATCACTTTTACCTAGGGGTGGCATATAATGAAGGTTCGCAACGTCATCCACATAGTGAGTGAGTATAAGATCTAGTAAGGATGATTCAGTGTCCGGGTCGTACCTTGTCGCTTCTTTCACATGTTGTACTAGAGCACATGTGATAACCGCATCAACTAGTTCCTGCGCGAAGGAATTTTCTGACGATCCAGTTCGCAGATTTTTCCAGTCTACCATAGGTGCATTAAAGTCCCCTAAGATTAGACATCGACCACTTCGTGACCAAGTATTTAGACTGCTTAGCAGGACCTCATTTATTACACAGCTTGGACTGCGATAGACCAAACCAACCAGCAGCTCTTGTCCCTTGCATTTCAAGCGGAGACTAACTAATTCACACGTCTCACTCTCGTGGGATACACCGTCGATAATAGCAAATGGGATCCCATTCCTGATGAATAGAGCTACTTCTCCTCCTTCACGCTTTTGTATTCTATCAACCCTTACTAACGTAAAACACTCGAAATAAAGTTGCATACTATCTATAGACTGTGTCAGCCAGGTTTCTGTGACTGCGATTATGTCTGGCTTTGTAGGGCCAATCCGTACACCTAGTTCTGATCGCTCATTGAGCAAGCTTAGGGCATTAGTGTAATAGATCCGAAGCCTATTTAAGTGGCTTCGTGCTTCACTCAGAGTGGCTACGAGATCATCCTCTGTCGAAGCCTTACAACCCAAAAATTTACAATTTTTAGGCCTTTTTCGCCAGCGTCTAACTTAGTTGTAGTTCTTTTTCGGCTTCCCGTCTTTTTACACGGTCTGTCAACGGTAAGTCCTTTCGTATAAAGACTCGTGAACCCTTTTATTTGTGTCCATTCTGTAAAATTAGGTCACGTTCTTTCAAAGAGTTGAATATTACTTTAAGCAGTCTGGAATGATTTGGTTTCACGTCCGCTAGACTCCCTGGTCTTTACACCTTTAGCAAGGTGATCCCGATGATATTTTGAGGCATGAGTTGACCAAGCAGCTGCTTAATCAGCACAATGTCATGCTCAAAACTAGCTTTAGGTTCAGAGCTCTCGCTCTCCTTGATTCTATAAAAAATAGCTGATCTGTCACTATGACCAGCTTTCGGTTTTACGACTACTTTCGCGGGGGTAGGATTACCTTTTATATCGCTACTTCTTTTCCTCCTTACAACCTGTACCCACTCGTCAACAGCGCTGGGAGAAGCAACAATAGTTGCCCCAAACCTAGTGTTGGATTCTGGACGGTTGTCGACGACCTGAGAGGTCAGGTTATGTTTACCGTTTGAAACCGATCGAGACTTGCGATTGTGGCTTCTTGGCGTTTCCTGTGGGATCCCATCTGGGAGACGGGGAACAAAAGAATCTACTTTCCTTGAGCTTTTGTTTATGGCAGGCCCCTTTGGAGACTGCTTTTCCTTCTTTGACCGGCGTGAGTCATCTACTATTGAACTAGCCCTTCTTTGCTTCATGTCGATTTGTGTGTCCACAGATCGAGTGCTGTTTGACGTGTTCCGACTACGCTTGCTAAAATACTTCTTTACAGCATCAACCAGTGAGATGGCCTCGGTAAACAGGCCGTTAGCATCCGAACAGCACTGTTGACAAAGCCATACGCAACCCTTTTTACTGAACCGTTTGAAAGCCGCAGGCGTACAGTTATTGCAAAATTCGTAGTACCAGCTTTTGCACTCGTCGCACTGCATGCCGCTTTCAACGGGATAAGGACAACCCGGACGTTGGCAACTGCATTTTTTACACTATCCGGCCATTCACAAGGAGTCCTTTTCAAAAAGGAAGGAGATGCAATGATACTCAGAAAAAAAATAATCAATGACCAAAAAGTGAAGAACTGTAGATTGTTAGGACCAAAAGTACTAACAGATACAATTGGAAATGAGGTACTCAAGAGTACCAACGACAAAACTAACTGAGAGAACGGTAAAAACGGTACTCTAGTCGAATACTTTAACTGAAATGAATTCAATTAAAGTGAAAACAGTAGTCTTGATACCTAATAAGCAATCAAAACAATCAAATTTACTCAGCGAGGAAAAATACCACCTATTTGAAAAAAGTACATAAGGTAATATGAATTTGTGGTTAATAATTATTATTTTACGATACGCATACTAAGTATGTTATGTCAGTATGTATGAAGAACGGTGATGATCAAACGCTAAAGTACTTTTTCGTGAGATATGTATGTACATATGGACGTAAACGCAATTTGTCAGAGTCAGATGCTTGTCTTCAGGATGTAGATGATGATAGTGATCATCATTTTTCCGAATAACATACAACTTCCAACTCACCACCACAACCTAAACAAAGAAGACGATGTCGGTTATCTACGTATGCCTTATTTCGAATGAATTTTTCCTACAGGTCTAAATATTGCTATTGTCAATCCGGATTTGGGGTCCGTGCAGTAAATGGTGAGCTTAAAGTCACCTCTATTAAGACCGTGCACAATCATCCTTGCACA